ATACCTATCTATAAATGTATCGAGATATATACCTATCCACGAACATAGTCAATTGCATATATTCCTGTCCATTAATATACTCAGGTATACATATACCTATATTTGAATACAATCAGATTCATATGCCTATCCATCAATATAATAAGATGTATGTACACGAATCCATGGATTTTACCAGATAAGTATATACTTATCCATGAAATTAGTTAGATAAATATAAACTTATTCATAAATACAATCAGATAAATATATACCACCTATTCATAAATACAATCAGATAAATATATACCTATTCATAAATACAATCAGATAAATATATACCTATTCATAAAAACAATTAGATAAATACATACCTATTCATAAATACAATCAGATAAATATACACCTATCCATGAATACAATCAGATAAATATATACCTATTAATGTATACAATCAGATAAGTATATACCTATCCATGAATACAATCAGATAAATATATACCTTTTCATAAATACAACCAAATAAATATTTACCTATCCATGAATGTATTCAGCTATATGTATACGTATCCATGGATATAACCAGATATATATAAGACAGGTATAGTACACCCTGGCATTCACAGTTCGCCACTAATGATATATACAATATGAACCGCACTCTACACGTTCAGTCCATGACATAAAACGCCGATCGTGGATTTGTCGTTTATTGATCAAGACATGTCGTATATTACAGGTCCAGTTCACGAATATCGACCTCTGACTGAATTTGTCGCTTATTGATCAAATGTATATCTCAGGTCCAGTTCACGAATAGTTACCTCTGATTGGATTTGTCGTTTATTGATCAATACATGTCGTATATTACAGGTCCAGTCCATAAACATTTACTTTCCCCTGACTGAATTTGTCGTTTATTGATCAATACATGTCGTATATTACAGGTCCAGTCCATGGACATTTACCTTCACCTGACTGGATTTGTCGTTTATTGATCAATACATGTCGTGTATTACAGGTCCGGTCCACGGCCATTTACCTCTGACGGTGGATTTGTCGTTTGTGCTGCGCCTGGAACAGTGCCTAACCATTTTCAACAGTGTTGTGTCGCTGCCAAGAAAACCTGGTCAAGCGATAAACCCCACACCAGTATGTGTTGTGTGATACTACTGAGTTTATGTGCTTCTTGCGTTGTTATTTGTTTTATAGCTGCATCCTCCCAATTGAAAGGTTGGGTTTATAGAGTGCTCTGTATGTGTCCGTGTGGTGTGATGAGCGCAGGTGAATATTTTCTCAATCATTGATGAGGCTTTGGGCTCGTAATTTTGTTGCACTACCCTGTGTGCAAGTCAAGTTAAGAGCCAATTCAAGTGTTTATAAATCATTTCAGAGTCACTTTAAGCCAATCCAAGTGTTTATAAATCATTTCAGAGCCACTTGTAAAAGCCAATTCAAGTGGTTATAAATCATTTCGGAGTCATCTCAAAAACCAATATAAGTGTTTATTAATCATTTCGGGGTCGCCTCATAAACTATTCCTAGTGTTTATTAATCATTTCGGGGTCGCCTCATAAACTATTCCAAGTGTTTATTAATATATTTGGGTACTAGTTAACATATGGGTAGGCATTTTCCAGCCATTTCCACCTGACCGGAGATTTTTGAGCCCGATTATCTGTGCTCAATTTTTTTCTTAATTCCATGAGATTGAAAAACAAAGCGCCACGTACTAGAGTAAATTGGAGCTATCTACACTACTGTAACTTTTACTTTTGGGAATCATTTCGTCTTGGTATGTATCTCGATAAAAAGGTACAGATTCAGAGACATATCTGATATTAGATCACAAATTTTGAGCTCTGATTTCTGCCTTGTCTTCCGTTTATAGGCTGAACCCAGTGTACAGAATGATCTGCGTCTAACACGCAATCTGGGAGAGGCAGGCAAAGAGGAAATCTTGGATCTATTCGCACAACTACAGATCTCAGAGGATGAGGTGTGAT